ATTATTTCTTTCAGATACTTTTTTCTTAAAATTTTTTCCTTGCGATTTAAGGCCCGTCTACCATACACGGAGTAAGAGGTAAGAGTAAGAAATTGACCAATCACAGTCGAATGTGAGAAGAATAATCGACTGTGATTGGTCAATTTCTTACTCTTACTTCTTACTCCGTGTATTGTAGACGACGCCTTAGAGAAGCGACAGATTACGATGTATGTGAAGTTATCTCCCTTTTTTTGAAAATTAAAATTTTGACAATTGTTTCAGATTGTACAGAGTTTGTTCTACATTGTTCCAAAGCGATATCATCTCATTCAAAAATGTTATCCATAAAATGCAAAAAACGATTTTTTTTGCTAGCCCCTCTTTTTTGAAAAATCAAACAATTTCTTCTCGCTACAAATTGTCCTAGTTGTTCCAAACATTGTTCCAAAAGGACAATTTCATATGACGGACGGAAATAGCAGAAAACAAAAAAACATTTTCTTATCCGGCACACCTTTTTTTAATAATCGAAAAATTCATTATCGCCATAGATTGTTCTAGTTGTTCCAAACATCGTTCTAAAAGAACAATTCCATAAGTCGAGTGGAAATCGAGAAAAATAAAAAAAACCGTTTTTCAACAAACAAACGCTCCGACCAAAAGAAAAGACACTCTCCTCATTCCAATGCAGAATTTTATATTTTCAGTTGTTCCAATCCCACGAAAGGTTATTCTGCAGTGCGAATCTAACACCGCTACCGGTCTTTCCAAAAAACGAAAAAAATCCATTTTTTGCGTACATCATGAATAAACGTGCACTTCCTTTCGTGTTCCAGTCGAGAACTTTTTGTTCTGAGTTGTTCTAGTCCTGCTAAACATAGTTCTGCATTATGAATCATCCATCGCTATTGGTTCTTCCAAGAATCGAAAAAAATTCATCTTTTTGCATCCACCATCAAGAGTAAACGTGCACTTCCTTTTGTGTTCCAGTCGAGAACTTTTCGTTCTGAGTTGTTCGAGTTTTTTGGGAGAATCAGCAGCGATGGATGATTCATAATGCAGAACTATGTTTCGCAGGACTAGAAAAACTCAGAACAAAAAGTGCTCGATTGGAACACGAAAGGAAGTGCACGTTTACTCTTGATGGTGAATACAATAAGATGGATTTTTTTCAATTTTTGGGAGAATCAGTAGCGATGGATGGTTCATAATGCAGAACTGTATTTCGCAGGACTAGAACAACTCAGAACAAAAAGTTCTCGACTGGAACACGAAAGGAAGTGCACGTTTATTCTTGATGGTGGATGCAAAAGATGGATTTTTTTCGTTTTTTTGGAAGAACCGGTAGTTGTGCTAGATTTATACTGTAGAATTATCTTTCGTGAGATTGAGACAACTGAAAATATAAAATTCTGCGTTGGAATGAGGAGAGTGTCTTTTCTTTTGGTCGGAGCGTTCGTTTGTTGAAGAACGTTTTTTTTATTTTTCTTGATTTCCGTTCGACTTACAGAATTGTCCTTTTGAAACAATGTTTGGAACAACTAGAACAATCTGTAGCGAGAAGAAATTGTTTTATTTTTCAAAAAAGAGGGGCTCGCAAAAAAATCGTTTTTTGCATTTTATTGGATAACGTTTTGGAATAAGATGATATCGCTTTGGAACAATGTAGAACAAACTCAGGACAATCTGAAACAATTTTCAAAATTTTAATTTTCAAAAAAAGGGGGCTAACTTCATACACATCAGATTACGATAGAAATTAATTAGATTTTCCGTAGATTTCGATAGGTTTCATTGTTTTCTCTCTTTCGAGATTTTATTCATCGAAGTTTATTATGGTTTGTATTTGTCCTGTTTTTGAAGTGTTATTGTTACTTATGTAATGTAATCGCGAATGTGCGTAGCAGCCATCGCGCGAGTCCTTTGGTGCGGTGCAGTGAAACGTGTGAGCGGTGCCGAGCACTAAGCAACGGCGCGCTTCCCCTCTTGCCTCTCTTGCTGGCGCATCCATCGTTTGACAAACTGGGCCGAGCTATATCTTGAGCGGCCGGAGCCGTTTCTATCGGCGCGCTCTCATTAGTACAATTGTATACATCAATATGTCGATTATTATTACGGATATCGCTAAACGGTAAAGGACTTGTATGTTTTTTTCGATCCCATCTATCTTCCTGTGGGCGGTTGGAGAAGTATCGCGAGACACCCTGTATATATTTTTTAAGAATTTATAAATTTAATGCGGACCCTAATATTTACGCTCAATTTAACAAGATTTCATAATTGCAAGTATGAATACCAAATTGATTTCTAATAAAAGAAAAAATAAACTGCAGATGTTCATAAATATAACGCATTATTTCGCCCGCGTAAATTAAACTATAGAGGAAAGGCCCCTATTATGAGATACCGAGTTCATTTTGGATAAATGCTAGAAGTCTATGAACAGAATTTTAAAAAATAATAGGTCATTTTGTAGGGATTTTAATAAGCTTTAAGATAATGTTATATAAAACTTAATTCAAATTTTTTTTTTTAATTAAACAAATGTAAAAAGTGAGCAAATCGCAAAGTCAAAAAATTATGCTCCTAATATAAAATGCCCCGAGAAATCGATAGTAAAACGCAAAGTATACTAGTATTGCAACTAAAAAACTTTATTTAATGTTTCTTAAATATAAACAAACACAGTCAGGGTGCGCGAAAAATGAGTATGCGATACATTGTACCCAGAACTCGTCTTCAGATGGTTGAAATCAAGAATCGCAGAAATAGGCACTTGACGTTCATTCCGGTTGTCCTTTTTATTATTGTACAATAACGTTTATACTTTAGCAACGATTTTTACTATGACATGGGAGCATGGATTATTTCATATTAGAAATACCCTGGGTATCTCATATTACGGTTTCTACGCCTAACGGTTTTGCGATCATCAAACCTAACTTCCGTAATTAAGCAATTCAACATATCCCGTTTTTTTCTATTAGTACGTTTCTTTGCTCTATCACTATATGAAGAATTTATTGTTAAATATTTATTCATTAAGTAATAAACAAGGTTTAAAAGCTCATCTCAACAAAACTTGAAGATATCCTAATTCTAAAATCTTTTTTTACGATGACTACAGGCATGATCTAATAATGAATTTTCTACTAAACAGTTTTCAAACCAAGAGCAATAAATTCATGGTGGAACCAATAGATAGCGGCTATTAGTTTAGCAGAAACGCCGCTATCTCATATTAGGCGCCTATCTTATAATAGGGGGCTTTCCTTTAATAGTAATAAGGTTCAATAAATTAAAAAAAAACAGAAAGAGGAAGGGCTAAGAATAATCTTTAAAAATTAAAATTGAAAACGTTAGTAAGAGTGATGGCAAAAAGACATGTTTATTCGCCCATTTTTTGGACCTCGAATTTGTAACTTTTTTTATGCCAAATAGTACTATATGATGTAACATTAATCCTAGAGAAATTTTAAGATGAGCATAGACACGATTCTGGAGACATGAAGGGATGAAAGTGATGGTTTCTCATACATACGAAAGTACACGAAACTATTTAAGTATCCATACCAAGGAATAAAATATATATTTAGCAAAGTGAAACATATTGTTTCTTATGGAATTTTTTACGCTGAATTCAAATTTGACCTTAGATTTCGTCTAGCATGAAAATTCCCCGAGATAGATGAAGTTGAAGTGACACTTGACGCCGCCTCTCACAGATCGGGGTGCTTTTTAAATGTGAGTCCCCTTGCCTCTCACAGATCGGGGTGCTTTTTTAACGTGAGCCCCCTTGCCTCTCACAGATAGGGTGCTTTTTTAATGTGAGTCCCATTGCCTCTCATAGATTGGGATGTTTTTTAATGTGAATCCCCTTGCTTCTCACTATGCAAGGTTGTTTTGTGAATCGTGATAGATACATTGCATATTTCAGGATTAGGTATTTTTATCCCATGTTATTGAGCAAATCCAAGGAACCACACAATTGTCATTACACGAACCCTCTCATAAATGAAATAGCGGTAATTAGTAGATCGTTCTCTGAACAGTGAATCGTAGATGATTCATTCGACAGAATATACTCTCAATATTACCAATGAACTTCAGCCACACACTCTTCCTTATACAATACACTCTGACTGGAAATCATCACTTTCACCCCCTTGTATCTCCAGAACCATGCATATGCTCACCTTAAAATTTTACTGAGATTAATGTTTTATCTAATAGTACTATTTGCCATAAAAAAATTCGAAATTCAAGATCCAAAAAATAGGCAAAATTTTCCATCACTCTTTTTTTATAATTTTTATAATTTTTTAAATAATATTTTTTATTTGAGATTTTATATGTATGAACTAATTAAATTTTTTAAATTTATTATGGAGAACACTGTGGGTGTGTTCCCTTTTTACTGGCAGTGCAACCATCATGACGTCACAACAGTGCACTGCCGCAGCCGTTCCAAAATTATTGTGATACTGCCAGCACTATTGTAACGTCGTATTTCGAAACGACTTTGCAATAGACTGACAATGTAAACAGACATGGATAAACGTACTAAATTGTCAATAAATTTTGAACGAAAACAGCAGCGATAATTCTTCCGAAGAAGATGAACTAATTATGGGATCATCAATTCAAGCAGTTGTACCTCGTGTTAAAAACTATATGGACACAGAGTTAATAAATATTCAAATGTGGAATTTAAGAATCATTTTCGGTAAAATGAATATATGTGTATCTTCTGTAATTAAATATAATGTATATATTTTTTTATTTCCTGGATCGAATATATTTAGACGCGTTGTGCTTCTTTAGGTGACACCATATTGCACTGTAACTGCTTCACCTCGAAAGCCGCAGTAATCGCAGTGGCAATATGGCTATCATTTATGACGTCATTGAGGGAACTAGACGCTTTCGCAGCGCGCTACGTAGTAATAGCGAAACAATTTTTCAGCACTGCCAGTACTGGCAGTGTATATCGGAACACACCCTGTATAATACATAAATTACATACCACCCATATCTAGAAAAACTTGAATTTGACTGGCAAGAAGATCAGAATCCTTTGCCGAAGTGGCATCTTCCATTCGTATTTGAAGAGCTTCGGAAAAGTTTTGACTAAAATACATTAAACCATTAAGTTTTCCATTTTGTACGGCATAACTCGCCTCGGAAATATTGTCATAATACTCCTAAAATTAGTAAGAATTTTTGAGATACACATTAACTATTTAATTATTGTTATTCCATTCTTTTAATTTATATTGAAATGTTTTGAAAGAACTTAATTTATTTTATAATTATAATTTATTTACTGTCAATAAATTGGCTGGAAAAGCACACCAAGAAAATAAGCATTATTAGTCATTCATATATACAATAGATATTGCTCGTTGTTGGTCTTTATAATTGTACCTGTGTTGCGATGGAGTTATTAAAACTATGCAAGAACCTACAACTCAGGTTACTAAAGTGGCAGGTAATTTCGTCATTACAAACGTTACCAAAGTTGCTACCGTAATCGCAGTTGCCAGCTTCATCATTGACAACACCAATTTTCAGTCCTTTTGGATCTTTACCAATTGCAATAATAAATACGCTGATTTGGATTATCGGAAACAATGTTGCATAAACTAGTCCTCTGAAAAATATAATATGTACCTATTATTATTATGAAATTGCGTACAAAAATTGATATGTAAATCTGAATTATTTGAAAAATAATATTTTGTGTACAATGGTTCATTAATGTTATACAAATATAATAATAAAACTGACAAATATTGGAAATCATAACAATTGAATTTTATTTTGTGAATGTATAAAATGTATCTCTTCCGTAAAGGAATTAATTACACTGTAGTGAAAAAAATTTTAGTAATTTTTTTTTATTTTTTAACAAAAAATAAGTATTTTTTTATTGAGAGTTTTAAGGAACTTTGATAGGACTCTTTATATAATACAAAAAAAATACGTTTTTGGTAATTATGCAGTGTAAGGGACCATCCTCCAATGACCTTGATCTCGACATATGTTGTGAAGGTCATGACCCCGAGTGACCTTGAGCAAATTTTAGCCGTTACTCGTTGTTCGTTAAAGAGTCATTAATAAAAAAAGTTTTTCAACAAAACCTAACTTTTGGACATGACTGCGCTCCGATGAGACAAATTCCCTGCTTTAACAGCGCAAAATATTTTCTTATATAATTTTTGTGTTTTTAAAGCAGAGAATTTGTATTTTTTAAATATTTAAAATACAATTTGACCAATCATAAACGGATGATATTGGTTAATTTCGCCTATGTTATATATAAGGAATTTTTGCATGATATTTTATCTTTCACATTAAAACGAGCATACACGAACAATCGAAAACGTGAAATTCAGGATAGATTTGCTTATTTAAATCATAAGATAAGTTTATAAATTTCAACAAATAAATGAAGTTATATATTTGTAACATATATTTTGATCGTTATAGGAATTTGGGCGACAACGATGTAATCATGTTTACAGTTACAGTGTTTATTTTCGCGAAATGTTAGATATAAACTTCTGTTCATATAAAAAGAATGGAAAAGGTGTACATTATACATAATGAAATATTTCCTATTTTACAAACACAAATTCTTTGCTTCAAAACCACATTTTTTCCTATAAAACGCAAATTCTATGTTTTTAAAAATATAAATTCTCTACTTTAAAAATACAAATTCTCTGCTTTAAAAATACAAATTCTCTGGCTCTAAAGACACAAAAATTATATTAGAAAATATTTTGCGCTGTTAAAGCAGGGAATTTGTCTCATCGAAGTCCAGTCGTGTCCAAAAGTTAAGGCCGCAGCACAGACTTTTGCATAACGCATAACGCATGTTCAGAAAATAGAAATCTTATTTCATAACTAGTATTATCAATAAATATTTACCCATAAAACCGTAAAAATTGATTGCCGTTCTTCGCTAATAAAGCTGTGAATCTTCTCAATCGCGAAACTTGACGCTCTGACACTGCTTTATACTCCAAGATTGCCTTAACAAACGAATTTATTTGTATTATAAAATAATATATTTAAATAGCTTTTTATAACAATGATTAGCATAGATTATTTCTACATGTACTTTTTTTTGTTCATATTGGTTTTGGTTTCGATACGAAACGCCACTGCTAGTATCTTCCACTTCGAATTCCTGAGCGTCATTTAAAGAAACTGTATTATCCTGTGTTTTGCACAGTTTCAAGAAAGTCTCCTCCAAGGACGAACATTGAAATCGCTCCAATAATTTTTGCGGTGGTAATTCCGCCAACATTTTACTATATCTCATTAAACCGATCTGCATAACATTGAAAATACACAATATTAAATATGTCATTAAGCAAAACAAGATTTTTAAAAAATTGGTTGTATGCTCCTTTTTTAACTTTTGTTTATAAGTATTAAATCATTATTTACCTTTATGTTGTATTTACACGCGAGCAGAAACATGCGTTATACATTTAATAATAATTATTTCTTCGAATTTATTAGAGAGAATTTTGGTATCAGTTCTTGTGTCACGTTGAAAAAATGAATGAAACTAATGAAAACTAATATTAACACAAGACTAAGAATTTACTTTTTAAAAAATTGTATAAAAAAAGAATTGATACCACAACATTTATACAAATTTTTGTGTCACAAAACTAATTCTTATAATTTTTCTTCCGATCAAAAGATTAATACAATCAAACGAAATTTTATTCAAAAAATATTACGCGTTGAATTACAAGATACGTATAGACGACTTGAACACATAAAATATGAATTTTTTAATGTATGTAGACTTATTAATAATTTATTACCATCTGATATATGTGATATGTTTTTCCATCGACTGGAATTTATTTCTAATAAATTATGGTATCAGGAAAATAAAAGAATTAACAAGAAAATTGCTAATCTAAGAAATTATAATATCCGCCACAGAAGGAAAAAAATTAAACAGATTAATTATAATATTAAAACATCACAATCTTCAGGCAATAAAAGAACTTCCGATTTTATTCCTTCAAAAATAGAAGGCATTTCGGGTCAACTTGCTATGTCGTCAAATCAAGATGCATTACATCATATTGATGTGAACCCTGAAAAATTTGATTTTAATAACAAACAAAACATAAATAACAATTGGATTAAAAATCTAAGCAACATTGACATTCCAGACAATATATAAAATCTCTGCTACAATTAGATCAAAAATTTAACTTACAGAACAATACAATTAATAAAAAAGAAATAACCATAGAATTTATCAAATATATCGAATGCAACTTGATTAAAACCGATGACAAAACACGCAATTTGATTAGAAATGATTCTATATCAATTTTAAACACAATGAATCATAACAATCCTCCTACAGAAAATAAAGTTAAATTAAAGAATTTAATCAAAGAAACAAAATGTTTCATTTCAGAACATCCTGATATCCTAATTACACGCGCGGACAAAGGTAATACAACGGTAATTTTAAACTTAGACGATTACAAGAATAATATGAATGTTATTTTATCTGATAAAGACATTTTTATGTAAAGGTCAATAAAATCCGACTAATAAAATGACGATGGATTTGCGCTCGATACGAGATGAAAAAACAAAGATTACATAGATCAGAATACATATAAAAATTTATAGATTATATAGATCAGATGGAGATTTATCAAGATCCTATGGGTTGCCCAAAATACACAAAGCTGGCAATCCATTGAGATTAATTGTAAGTTGTATTAATAGTCCTATTTATTCTTTAGCAACATATATTAAAGACATTATTGATAACAGCATTAGGAAAAGTTTTAGTTATGTTAAGGATACTTCCGAACTGGTAAATAATGAAATGCCACTAGAACCTAACTACAAAATTGTGTCTTTTGATGTAGTATCAATGTATACGAACATACCCTTTGATTTAGCCATTATGAGTTTGAAAAAACGGTGGAGTTTTATTATGCAATAATACAAATATTCTATTAAATGAGTTTGTAATTGCAGTATCCTTTATTTTTAATGCAACTTTTTTTAAATTTGATGACACAATCTACAAACAAATTTTCGGCATGCCTATGAGATCTCCGTTATCCCCTATTGCAAACATGGTATTAAATGATCTGGAGATTGATGTTTTCACATCCATAACCACATTTATTCCGATTTACTATCGTTATGTCGACGATATCATATTAGCTGTACTAGAAGATCAGATTAACGCAATTCTAGACAAATTTAATAATTGTCACAATAGAATTAAATTCACAGTGGATTATGGTGATGGTGGGGGCATCAATTTTCTTGATGTTAAATTGTTAATTAAGGATGGAAGAATCATATTTGATATGTACTAACTCAGGAAGATACTTGAATTTCCTCTCTAACCACCATATAGATCACGAAAGTGCAGTTATAATGGGTCAATTCGGTCGGATATTATTTTTATCACATCCTCAATTCCACGCAAAAAACATTACTAATATGATAAAGACATTAATTGGTAATAATTATCCTTTGGATTTTATTTTTACCATAATAAACAGCAGAATTAAATCAATCTCACATAAATATAATATTGAGGAAAAAAACAGACATGATAATAATATAAGTAATAGTCATAATTTAAAAAGCTTCTTTACAATTCCTTTATTTTAGTGTAATAACTGAAAAATTTAAAAGTTTATCTCATAAATTTGGTTTTAATATTGCGTACAAACCTATGAATATATTAGATAAATTCATTAAAAGTGGAAAAGACGAGTTAAAAAAAGATTATAACAGCAACGTAGTATATAAGATAAATTGTCTTGATTGCGATTACTCTTATGTGGGACAAACTAAAAGAAAACTTAAAACCCGAATCAAAGAACACAAAGCAGATAATAAGCCAACCAATTTGTTATCTGTCGTATCATACCATCGATTAAATAAAGATCATGTCTTAGATTGGGATAATATTTTAATCTTGGATTCAGAAACATCATACTACAAGAGATCCATTTCTGAAATGATACACATCAAAAAACAAAAATCAGGATTAAATAAGCAAAGTGACACCGATCGTTTACCAGAATTGTATTTGCCTCTACTTACTGAATAATCTCCTACCTAAGACTTCCTTTCTACTCCTTTAATTTTCCCCTTCTTAATTCTCTCTCTCTTCCAGAGAATATAAATACCGAAGGACAGAACACAGAAGAACACAAAAATTCTTTAAACAAGTATTGTTCTAAAGAGTTTCTTTCATCCTTAATAATTTAAAATTAAATTATAAAGACTATAAAACTGCCAGTGCATAATTGTAACTCCTATTACATATGAGTAAAGGCACGTTAAGTAATTGTTGTCATTAATTATAATCATAATTTTATAAAAATTTATATAAATATTTAATTGTAAATTCTTATTAGAACTTGGAAATTCTTTACGACAAGGGATCTTGCAATTGCTAACGGACTAATATTAACAGTCACACAAAAATCAACTAATTTACAAGAACTTTTTATGATACATTCAACTTTTTATATTAAATGACCATCATATATTATAAATAACTGAAATTTATTCTCTCATATTTAAATTGAAATTTTATTTTATATAATTTCCGATGTAAAAATTGGGAGTGATCCCGATTGACCACTTCTTGATAGGACACCACCAATCACAGCGACCGGTGCTTAGGAGCTTTGTAATCTCAAGCGCTGTGAGTGGCTCGTGTCCAATTGAGCTGTGTCCAACTGGGTGCCACCCATCATTTTAAATATATTACATCGCAACAAATAACCATATTGGCTATATATGTTCCTTTTTTAACTTTTAATTGAAAAATAGTTTTTTAAAAACTTATACTATATTTTGTAGCAATTTTGACGTGGATATTATTAGAACTAATTTAATAGACATAACACTTACTTTATTAGCATCTTTAGTTTCTTCGATGTAGTGCGTTGTGATCAGCACGGTGATACCTTCCTCCTGCGTAATCTGAATCATATAGGCCCAAATGCTACGAAGAAAAAGTATAACTTATTTTTCTATTATTTTTTGCTTGTCGCATCTAAAAAGGAAGCAAAACCTACTTTTCCCTCAAAATTGGATCCAAGCCCACAGTGGGTTCGTCCAGGATTAGAAGTTCGGGCCTGTGAATCATCGCAGCGGCAAGAGAAACTCTTCTCTGTTGGCCTCCACTCATGTTTTTCACTAGGCGATTTGCTGGGGGTAGTTGCAATAACTCCGACAAAAATCTCTGTCTCGTCTCTTAGAAATAATACAGGGAAGCTATAGTTATTTCGAAATCACCCAAACAACACGAGTGGATTGTTTGTCGGCTTATTGTAAACTTTTTTCTAGTCGGCATATAATCGACTGATGAAAGTCATATGTCGACTTATATAATGTCTACTATTAGTCGACTATTAGTCGACATTTGATCAACTTATAATCGACTTCGTATTGTTTGGGCAATTATACTAAAAATATCTTACGTATAAGTAATTTAAAATAGAAACTAGAACCGTTTAAAAGATATTTTGAAAAAAATATTTAAAAATATTTTATAAAATTAAAACTTCTTAGAATACATTTTGCGACGTTTTGTAACTAATATCAGTACAATTTTCCTATCCATTTTCCTACCAATCTCCTCATCGTCGAGCCCATTGATTCTGCCGAAATAATATAGAGCACCACTCATGGTGAACTCTCCGACTAAGGAGATCTCCTGCGGCATGTAACCTACTTGAGGCCCAGGGATGCCGGAGCCCTTGCTGCCCGGATTTCCTCCCAATACCCACACTTCTCCGCTGTCGAGATATCGAATTCCAACAATGCAAGACAGCAGTGTGGTTTTTCCACATCCGCTGGCTCCTAACAGTCCGTAACTGTTTAGAGGAAAGATTTCGGTTTATACGTGCTTTATTTTATTTTAGACAACACGTTCACAAAAAAGGTTTTCTTATTAGATTTTTTATCTGATTATTCGTAAAAAGATATACGATTATGTTGTCGTGTATTTTGCAAATGATGCCAATTTAAACAATTGATGAATGTAACGCGTAAAAGTGAGTGATAACGATTTTAGGCAATTTTCAATATATCGAAGGAAATTCTTGAGGCTTTCACGGGTGTTTCCTATATGACAATCTTGTGTTTCGCGGG